CAAGGCCTAGGGTTTTCTTTTGCTACTGCCTTTTATATGGCAAAATTGATTTAAATATTTATGTTATAATTATTACGTGATTATTTAAAAATAATATTGTATAGTATCATACATACACCACAAAAATAATAAACAATATACTAATATTTTTTTGTTATTTAACAAAAATCTATGATGGCTCCCTCTCAAACGATCATCTAGATCCGCTCCTGTCTCCAACTCGAAACCGGAACTAGAAAATCCATAAGAAGAACGAGGGCTGGGGCGGCGGCGGCAGCGGAGGCGGAGGCGGAGGCGGCAGCGGATGCGGGGAGTAGAAAACCGAGCGCGACGAGAACAAACGGGGCCCGTAGACGGACGAACCGAAAGACCGTTCCGGGGAAGCGCAAATGTTTATTACCAATGGTCCGTCTTTTACGGGCGACCACCAGGCTCCCGCAATAGCCCGTAAAACCCGCCCGACATCGCTCCACTGCGCAATTATGGAATTACGAATCCATCTCAATTAGAGCGCCCTCTGCCCCGACCTCGGTGCATCTCCGGCAACTACAGAAAACTTAACTGGTGGTGCTGCAAAATGGCAGTCTTGATCGTACTAGTTAGTTTTTCTAATCTCTTGAGCCTTCGGTTTTGCTCCACCCCTTCCCAGCTCTTTAGCCTGAATTAGTTTTTCAGTATTGCACACCCCATTTCAGCTGCCATCTATTGGCTCCTAAAGGGCATTTATTTTCACATTTCCTAAAGTTTTTCGGACCCCCTAATGGTAGAACTTAAGTACGTCCTTAAGAATATTGTGGAAAAGTAGAACCTGGTCGTGAATGTAAATTTTCGTTGAAAAAATTTGAGCAGTCTTCAAGAAAATGTCGTATGAGCGTTTCTGAAAATGCGTAAAACTTCGTTACCCAGAAATTTAGAGTTATCGAGAAGATTGCTTCATAAATTACTTGAAATAATAGTACATAGAAAATCAATAACGTCCGTAATGTAACGCTAATTTAAATACTAACGACGTGAGATTAAAAACAAACAAAATTTATATTTGGGTAATTTAGAAAACGCAAAATAATGTATCAAACTAGCATTAATGTAAGGTTAACATGTGGCAAAAAACTTTTACAAACCGATCACGATCTTAAACAGTCAAATTGGAGCTCTGTTTCCTGTAAGACAGCGCCATCCCTCACCCTGCGCCGCCCCAAGACAGCCTTAATGGCGGCGGCGCCGCGCCGCGCCGTCTGAGAAGGCGCTATTTTTGCCGGTGATAAGCCCTGGCGCCTCCGCCCGAGCCGCGCGGTCCCGCCCTCGACTGTCTTCCTGCCCCACCCCCGCGCCCTTCCGACGTTGCCAAAGACGCGCCTCTCCCTTCGCCCAACTTCGCTTCGCGCCGTTCGGGCGTCGCCGGTCTCCGACCGCGGGGCACTCGACTGACAGTTGACGGAAGACACGAAAAAAACCGAGAACCGATTGGCACAAGATGGTGGAAAGATTAGCAGATCAAGCCGTGCAGTCCTAGACGGGCACACCCGAACCCAATAAACAGGCAGACATATGCAGTCCGAAACAGACGAACGGGCAACGAAAGAACTGACAAACGGGTCAAATAAAGAGCCGAGAGATGAACAAGGATCAAAAAATGTTATTAAATCCTACTTCATCAAAACATGAATTCAATTCTATTCTAATCAATCATAATATTGCGTCACTCAAATGTCAATATCGTGAGAAGTTTGCAATCAATTTAATCACACCTTGTTTCTCTGCTACTAAGTACTACAAGAATGCCTTGTCCAATAAACAGAAATAAAAGCAATTAAACAGGTCAACAATGAACTGTATCCATGGCATGGCACCACATTGTAAGTGGAAGTTTTACATTAGAACAACACTTTTCTAGCAATTACCAACTACAGAATCACTATCAGAATCAAACTACAGAACATCAGACATGTCAAGGCGAAAACCTTTCATACCTTATGAACAAGATCAAGAGAGAAAAATAAAGACAAGCACACAAGAAAAGAAAATAAACAAATTTTGGAGCAATTCAACAAATGTTAAAAACAGCAATTTAAAATCTCGCATACCTAACACTGACAGGAAAAAGAATCAAATTAAATTTCTAACTGATAATATTTTTGCAACAAATTCAGATGTCCGATACAACTCGGACATTGATATTTTGTTGGATGCATTGGAAGACCAAGCCCAATATGGCACATGGAACTTTGAAGAAGAAATGAAGGAACATTCCAAAGTTATTGAACAAATAATGGGTATGAAAGAAACTGTATTTACCTGTGTTGACAAATTTGTACCCATAAAGTTTATACCTTTGTTCTCATCTACTATGTTGATTCATAGTCTTAAAACATCAAATGTAAACACTATATTTATGGTAACAGTTTTATATAAAAAGGCGTGACTTAAGAGATCATACATTTTCCCTAAATAAATTTTAGAAGAATAAATTAGAAATTTAACTTGAAGGCATTTAAATAAATTTGAAAAAATTATCAAATCACATTTTCCTGTCAGTGTAGGATAGGTTTTGCTGTTACCAGATGTAAAAATAAATGCCAGTGTTTTTAAACCTTCTACATTTTTAGGGAATACTAATCATTGAGAAGAAAAAGAATATACAGTAAAGACATTTAATAGAGAATAGAATTACCAGATAACATTTGACATTAATTCATTTTGGAACTACAAATTATTGGCCAGAATTAAACAATATTTCATATTAACAAATCTCACATATTCTGAAAATTCAAGATCAGCCCAAGTTCACAATTAACTCTTGTGTTTGTTTGTAATTAGATATGTTCCGGCCACGTAGACCTGGGATCAAGATCCCCAGAGCAAGAAAACCAAAGTCTCGCAACAAAGTTCAAGAACAAACAATATCAACAAAATACCCAGTTCACGAATCAGATGAAGAATACAGTGACATTGATGAAGAAGGAGGCGATCCAGTCTTTCACTATAAAAGCACTCGTCCAGTACACCAGTTACGATTACCAGACATAACTTCTGATAAAGAAAAAAAATACACAGAAAAGGTTTTCACCAATTTGAAGATCTGAGCAGCACTTTTGTTTTAATCAAATGACAGTTGAACTTTTTTTTAAAAAAAAACAACAATAACTTGTTTTGAATTAATAACCCAGACAATACTAAGAACAAAAATGACCAAATGACAAAACTGAATGACCAATTACAAAAATGACTAGATGACTGAACACTGTTTAGCTGCCCTCAAATTGAAGCAAACTGAAATGTCCTCCTAAAAAATTTTACATTTTTTTAATTAAATCTTTTTTCCAATTTTTTGTGTTTGTGAATGTGCATCTTATTTAAGACAGTTGTATACATTGAATCTTATCAAGAGGATTCAACAACTTTACCAAAAATATGCAATTATGATTCAATAACTTAATGGAAGAAAACTTTAAAGAACCCTAAAACATTTCTACAATTCCATAAGAAATAACTTTTACTAAACAAACGAAATGTACATGCGTATGAATTCTATTTTTCTCCAATGAATTTAAAATTGTTAAACTGCTTTCTAATGAAAAACATTCATCAGTATGTTCCAGCCAGTCTTTACATTGATCTACCATTCTACAGCATTTAAAAAGTATTCTGAAATTATATCATTTTCAATAGAATTTTTTCCAACAACACACTAGATGTGAAATTATTTGGTTCAGGTGAGGAGAGACTAAGATCTAATTTCATCAATTAAACATTGCTCCAATTTCAAATTATTTTAACTGAAAATCTTCAAATATCATTACTATAGTGGCAACAGAGGGCATTATAACAATTCTCCTCACAAATAAAAATTTGGCTTGGAACTTACAACTATGTTTCAAGGCACCATAATCTTGGAGTTTGAGGTTAAAAGTCATTTTTAAAAGCTGTAAAAACAATGGGGGACTTAACACACTTGCACTAAACCTCAAATCCTGCAAATAAAAACATTCTTCCTAGGAAAATAACAAAAACAGTTAAAAACAATAACTAATCTTCACATCCTAAAATTTTATCCTATACACAAGTGAAAACGGAAGAAAAATCATTCTCCTAAATAAGACACATACCAAGACAATAGTAAATTTATATTAAAATACAATAAGGGCTCAGATTTTTAGAATATTACACAATTCATTTTGAACTTATTCAAAAATTCAGCCAATTTCAATTTTTTATTGTTTCTAATCAAAGTTCAAGCTGAACAATAACAGTAAAAAATAACATTTTAATCATTAATACATTTTATTCAATGTTTTTTTTACTTCTGAACTTCTTAATAAAGAAAACATTACAAGGTCCTAGCATGAAACTCATGAAATCTAGTCATAATCTAATGCAATACACGACCTTTCTGGGAAACCAAGTTGTCGATATCTGGAACGTAGCAACTGCATATTATCTTCAAGTTCTCAAAAGGGTTTACGATCATCACTTCAGCGATGCAGACCATTGAAATCAGTCATTAAAGTACCCACTCTTTTATCATACATAAAAACGCACAAAATTAAAGAATAATTTTTCTATTTCATAAATATTTCCTTGAAAATTAGCATCTAACCGCAAACCATTAACCTTCTTTACAATGCTCTGTGGTAATGAGAAAACCACAGATTATAGTGAGATTATAGTTTTGAGCGAAGCGTGACATTGACTTTTCTAAAACACACACCCGTCCACCAAGCATTACAAACCTAAAAAGAACTGAAATAGCGACAAAGCTCAGAAATGGAAATGTATGAAGAAAACAATATAAGATGGATTTATATGTATTCATTGCAAAAGTAAAACAAAATTCAACAATGTGTGTGGACCATAGTTTCAAGCTCTTTGAAGTGAAGGAAGTGGTTCACCTGAACAATGTTATTTTGCTTAAAACAGCATGTGAACATTGTAATATTAAAATGAGATCAAAACCTCAGAATCCAGGCCCTAATAATAAGTGATTGACACTGCTACACTACCTGTTCCGCCTTCTCCGTCAGTCAGTCCCCCGGAGTCTTCTTCAGTTTGTTTCCGCATTCGTTCAACTGGAATGAGAAAAAATAAAATCAGATTACATCATGTAACCAGTATTTAGTTTCTCATAAAACATGATAAAATTTTAAATATGAGTATCTCTGGAGTATTAAAGAATTATTAATTTGGATGTTTTCTACTTGTCACAAAATTTTTCATCATCAATCCAGCTTCTTCCTTTTACCACTGTTTATTAGGTTAAATGTATTTCACAGAGGGTTACAGACCATCATAATCATTTCAGTGTGCTATAGAGCATTCTGAAGTTTTACAAGACAAGACTCCAAATAATATGTGTGCACCAAATTGCAGACTTAAGGTGCCCATATTTTAAGTAATATAAATTATTTTATAATTATTTATTAATAAAATAATTATAATTATTTTATAATTTCCATTCTATATTTTATACATTCATATAAATAGTGCTCAACGAATCCCGTAGCTCAAGTGCACACTTTTCAAGGGAAAAGTGACTCGTTTCATGTGGTAAAAATTAATTAATTGAACCTGTTTACAAGCTCATATAAACATTGATTATAATTTAATAATAAAAACACCCCAATTTCACTTTTATCCATATTTTCAATTATAATATAGAATGTGTGCATGATCATTAAAAATATTGTCAATTTTTTCAGAATTTTCTTGATGAGTTTGATAGAACTTTTGTAACACTAATAAAAAGTTTCAGGAACTATATGAAAATTTCATTAAACACCAAGACACTTCCAGACAACTTCACTAGCATGTTTATGCCCTAATACTCACTCTGAGAGAAGTTGTGGTTACTAGGCTTCCGTCTTGGTTCTCTTTCTGGCCGGATCTTCTCCATTAGTTTCGAAATGCGGTCATTGCCTCGTTCCTTTTTCACTAAAGGGCCTGGGCAATTTTCTTCAACTATTCGCACACAGTGTCGGTGAATGTTCAATGAACAGTCTAAAATCACAACAAAATGCCATTCACATTAGAGTAATTTACAAGGTATTCTCAAGGAAAGGGTTGTTGTGCAAGGAAAATATTTAAACACATCTTCTCCACTGAAATGACAAACTACTCAGCAATATTAAAGCAAATTAACTTAAGAAATGCCTATCAAACTGTCTTATAAATTTAAGATTCTAATTATTCCTGAGATGTAGAAAAAAGTAAAAATATTACTTAATTTTGCAAAACGTGTCCTCATAAAACACTTATTTGAAACAGCAATTGCTTGGTTATTTGATGCATAATGCCATTCAACATTCTCTACATTGAGAGAAAGAAAACCTTTTGACATTTAAGGCTCCTTTGTATATATATCAACAGGGTAATGGTCACATTTCTTGAAATGTAAAAGCACTTTTCAATGAAAAAGTGCTGATATTCTGAAGATGAATTTATAAAAAATTCAAACACCAGGAACAATAAGTCCATTGATTTTCTGAAGTTGAGATTCAAAACTGTTCCTCACATTCAGAATAGCACTGTCTAGAAAACATCATGTTTAACGCACTTATTACTTGTTCATTATACAATTGCGACTGCAGAATAAGGAACTACTACTGTTTTGAAAGCGAGGGCCCAAATAACAAATCCGAGAATGCATAAAAAATACAGCTAATATTTTAATGGCATCCAACCATTGCTGATGTGTGCGATTGTTTGGGCTCATTTTGTTTTGTTTTTGTCGTTTCTGTGATGTCTGCAAAATAAAATAACCAAATCCACTTCGGTATGCGAGAATGTATTCTGTAAATTAATTATAAATAATATATTGAAGTACTGCCATGAGCAAATGAAAAAAAAAGGGGGGGTATTAATACTAATAGATAGATCTGTGATCAGGGGTGAGTACAATACACTTCATTGTTGACAATACACACTACTCACAAAAGGCATGGAGAATATTTTTATTTCTCCTTTGCATATATCTACTACACAATAGTTATGCTCTTGCTCGTTTCTACTCTGCTGTACCCTGCAATGACAGGGCCTGTATCCTGCTCACTGCTCTGTGTATCATATCTAATAGATCAGTATCTATGGTAGACATGTGATTCTCATTCAGTAGCCAGTTACCTCAAGTAAACAGATTGCAATGCTCTGTCAGCAAATGTAAAGTAAACAAGTAATACTACGAATAAGAAAAATATATCTTACCTGAACACTGATAGCCTTGGGGTCCAATGCCACAAATAATGAGTTGACAATGGTTACAATAAGTCACAGAAAAATACTGATGTGCAACAAAATGGTGCCCACGAACATTGATCTGAAACAAGAATTTAAATGTACAATTGCATTATGATCTCGTACATTATTTTCACAAGGGATATTTTAATAGTACAACTTTGCATTATCACATAAGTTTCATGACTAGAACACTAATACTTCATAATTCAGAGTTTTCACTCCCACTCTTTTCACAGTTTAATCATAAACATGTACACAAATATTACTAATGGTCACAAACCAATAACACAACTGATTATTTAAACTATTACTATTAATAAGACATTTTCATTTGCTCTAAATGAAAGGATTCCTTGTCCACTAAATATTAATAAACTTTTATACTGAATTTTTAAAAACATTAAAAATAATTAATTTCTTAAATGACCAATTCTGTCACCTACCTTTCTAGACTTCCCAATCAGTCTTGACTTGAGTGACTTGTCTTTGGACACAAACGTGGGGCAACGGTCTAGCAAGGAGTTGGAATGCGGTGCTCGCAGGCCAAACACTTTACTCAGTACTGTTACAAGGGCTGCGGCTGCAGTGAAGCGGCGAATGTCTGTGTTGTCTCGCTCTATCACCTCCCTGAAATAACAATAATAGCATTGCTTTATTAGTTACTGGTTAGTGCATAACACGTTTTTAGAGCTAATACTAGGGTTACCCAATACTATAAATGCTGCACAACTTGAAGTATCACAACATAACGTATCTTCAATTATTAGGAGAGGAATCCATAAAATACCAACTAAAAATTCAAACAATCTGAATGATTTGGCAATAGCTTTTATCTTAAAAGAAGTCTAAACCATTTATGAAATCACAGTATTCAACTTACAACCCTGAAGATTAATAATATAGAACCCATCCACTAAGATTTGTAAGTTTTTAGCACAAAATTCAATAGATTTTTAGCATAAAACATTTATTATTTCACTTTAGGTTGAAATCAGTCTTAAAAATTTTATTAAAATTTTATTTCACATACCAAAAGAATATCTACATCTTGGACTCAACATGGCTTGAGTTAGATTTCAAGCAGCATTATAAAATGTAACACAATCTAGAATAATTGCAATACCTAAACAGATGGTTCAGCAAGCATTGTTTACTTTAAAACCTTACGTTGCAACGATGGCAAATGAAATTTTTAGGATTGCATCCATTGCAGTATTCCATTTAACACATTTAATTTACTTTTGATAACAACAAAACTTCACTTACTTGTAATGTTCAAGGTTTGGCAGAAGAACTTTCTCAACTATTTTAATTTCTACGTTTTTATCATGTATACTCATATCTAGTTCTGTGTCAGGAGGACCAAATAAAGTGCCCAGTCCAGCTGTTCTCTTCTGTTGAAAATCAGCCAACTGCTCATTCAGTTCTTCTTTCGCTTTTACCCGCGCCTTCCAGAAAATCTTAAATTAAGAAAACGGATTATTGACACTGTTCCTATACAAATACAATAAATAAGATTTATGTTAGGATTATCCTATTAGAAAACACTATAGTAAGTATAATATTCGAACATGGTCGACAGTTCATTGTCATATGGTAACGCAAATGCTGTAACTCAAGCAACAAGAAGCATTGGCATTTTCACAGCACTGTTGTCTTAAATTATAGAACAAATGAATTAACGACTAATATCTCAGTTAATCAACTGAGGTGTTATTACAAGCTACCAAAAATTAATGCACTTACAAAGTCGTTAATTTTATTAATCTTTTAGAACTTTGTAACATACTAGAACACAAATCCCTGTATTTCTAAACTAACATTCATAATTGTATTTTCACATTTTGCAGAAAAAAATTAAAATAAAAAACAACAAAAAAACACCAACAAGAAAGTTAATTTATCCCTTACCTTTCGAAGTATTTCCTCCTTATCCGATTCATTGAGCAAAACATCGTCTATTTCTCTAGCTACATTTTCGTCAACATTGTTGAGCCTCAGAGGCTATAAACAAAAAACACAAATATATATTGTCACTCAAATAAAATGTAAATTACAAGAAGTATTAGAAATACAGTTGAATGTTATCAATTAATTCAAATAACTCCTATTTTATCAAATCATCAAATGTTTTAAATGAACCATTAATAAACAACCGCAGAAGTTTTCAAAATAAAAAAAATATAGCTAAAACCATTCATTCTGATTCAACTGAAAGTTTACAGACCGTCTTGTGTATTATTTAATCTTTGCAATCATTAGTTTTAATATTACTTAGTTAAGTCAATGCTTTTGAACAAATTTAAAAATATGAACTACATTCGAAGCACACACTTCATGCGATTATTCTCTGCCAAAATGAAATTGCATTTTTGTCATCTAATTTACTGATGCTCCACTATATATAGTTTCTAATAAAACCTCTATCTAAACTTTGAAATGTGCACTCATGGTTTTTTTTCCCCCCTTCTCTTTTGCAACTGATGTAGTCTTTATGTATTGATATGCCAGCCTGAAAGCTGGTTAGATCCTCAAAGCAATACTAGGGACTCATACTACATTATGTTAGTTCAGTAAAACACAAAATGTAAACTGATATTGCATTCAGGTGATTATTTTGAGAACTGTAAATAAAGCTGAATATTTTTTTAAAAATTACTTACAGCTCCAGGTACTAAAAAGCTAGAGTGTATTTCATAAGCCCACTTCTTCATTTCCTTCGCATTGCCTTCTTTGTACAAATCTGTCACCAGATAAAAAAGCTGTAAAGAAAATGTTGTATCATGTACTAATATATCGTACTCAACTTTCAATATCTTATTTCAAGAATAAATAGGAATAAACATACAAGACTAGATGTGTCGTTGTTACAGATAACATAATTCATAAAAACAGCTAAATGGGCGGTATGCTCCCACAACTTTGAAAGACTTTTGAAAGGCCCATGGTCTTCTAACTGACTCTGAAATAAACAATAAAAAAATATATTAATATTCACAACTGATATATTACATACAACAAACCTATTTTACTCGAAACTATAATGCCTTAATTACAATTCACTCAAAACTAAACATTAAAAGCAAAAATTAAATACATTTTCATTTTGAATCTTTGCTTTTTTCAATGAAAATCCTGATATAATCAAACGTTTGGTAAATACTGTTGAAGGAAAAAAGAAAAAAGAAGAAAAAAAGAAGAAGAAAATTCCTTTACCACTCAATAAATTTAATTAAATAAATTAATTTTGAAAGAGGAAAGATAGCACACAAGAAACATGAAAACTTACAACTTCCTGATCAGACATATCATCTTCCTCCATTGAGATGATTGGGTGCTGTTGCAATATTGTTGTACTCGCATACTGTGGAAGAGATGTCCGAATTGGAGAGACCTCTGATGTTGGTGTGTCACGTTTCCCATGCTGTGGAATACAACACATGTTTATGCGATGACTCTTAAATTCACAGTTATAAAAAGGTTCAACAAAATTTAATTCATACTACAATTTAATAAAAAGTTGTTTTTTTTTGGATATCCCCAGTCTCCCTACATTTTAATACACTTGTTTTCGGCAATCAATTATGACTTACAATTATACACATAATAAAAACTTTAAACAATTTGTATTTAAAACAAAAAAATAGGTTACTTGAAACAAGACAAATGATAAAAGCCACTTTCAATACCCAAATTATTTAAAATAGGTTTGACGGAAATGCTGACATTCAATCGCATTCACATTGATGTTGGTCAACACTGAACTTCAAACCAATTTTCATTCTTTGTTTAATTTCTCCCAGAATATACCACAGCCCCACTAATGCACGCTTCCTAAACTTAATTTTTTTGGAATCATTTACCAATAGCAAGATAATATGTCCTCCTTTGAAAGTTATTAATAACAATAATGATTGTTCGGCATTACATTCGCAAATAACTAGGAAACTTGCGGCAAGATGACAGCAACAATTTTTTTTTTTTAACAGCTCAGGTTTAATCAAGTCTGATAATTAATGCACTACTGTGGATGATCAATAGTCTGGCTAATTTATTAAATATACACTTAACATTAATATTTCAAAATAGAATTGTGAAAATAACACCACTTTTCTCTTAATTTTATGACATTAACTTACTAAACCAACTAATAGAACAGTATCTCATAGAACTAGAATTATAGTTTTGTAAAACTTTTTACTTGTATCACTCAAACTCTCAATCATTGTGTTAAAAAATAATCAATTAAAACAGCTACACTGCCAATAAATGACATCGGCTGCAAGAGCCACTTACATCATCCAGGTCATGAACACCCCCTTCTTCCTCAGTAAGGGTGTCTCCGCTGTCCGAGGGAAGGGTGGTGCTGCTTCCTCCATATGGAGGAGGCGGAGTGCCGGGTGGTGTTACTCGGGGAGAGTCCATGTCAAAACCTCCGGAACTCCGCGTGCGTTTCGATCCATAGGAGAGGTCCGACATCGATTCAGATGCTATGAGGCGTTTGGAGGCTGCAAGACAAAACCACAGTCACAATTAGGGCAAGAAAAATTAAGTAAAGAAAGAATAGAAAACTATGGGATGAAATTCCACAGTAATGATAAATCAATTATTAACCCAAATGCATATGTAATTCAATGCAACCTATTGATCTGATGGCTGCCAGGATTGTAATTCAAAAGTTTTAGATCCTTTTTTCGAAGAAATTTTAATTGACAGCACATCTATTTCATTGTATTTTAGTATTGTTAATATTCTGGTAAAGAATTATTTTTACAATCCTAATTCCAATTGTAAATCATAAATCATGATTCTTTAAAATGCCGTAAGTTAATAAATTCTAAGAGAAAATTCACATCTGTACTATCAAGAGGAGAAAGCAAAAAAATTCATCTCATAAGCAGACTCCGAAGCGTACGAAAAAGAATTCTCTTTGGGCAATCAGACCAAGAGAGCTGAAACATTCACACAATATTTTTTTAGTTATGATCCTATTTGTTTATTTTTTGCAAAGCTTTTTAAATTTCAACCAATTGGGCAAAAAGGTCATGTGAAAAGTGCTCCAGTACAGTTTCATGTATTACAGGAAGTCAAACTCAAAATTCAGGTCTCAGATCAGCAATTCAGTGAACTTATTAAGCCAGTGCAGAAACCATTGCAAAAAGCCATAGCATATGGCCATAGCCGAAAAACTACATCATCAGAAGCATAATCTAAGTTAAATCAAAATGTTTGATTAAACTGTTGTAATCAGCAATAATGAGCTTCAAACAAATCTTAATTACTTCTCATGCAACCAATGCACATTATTCACCACTGAATAAATTATTCTTCACTAAGATTTCCATTTAATATTAAGAGAAATTAATATTTGAACACTATTGTACAAAGCTAAGCCTTTGTTTATTTTGTATTTCTCTGTTCTGTCAACTTTTTCTAAGCATAGCACACTAGAGAACTTAAAGCACTGATCATGCAGTTTTGCATAAACAAATAAAGCTCAGAACTTACTTTGAAGATGTGTCGTCACCACCCGACAGAAAGAATTTATTACATAATGCCCACTTCAAACTTTTAGAAACGAAATAAAAACAAACTACAGTAAAAAGTTGTATGTTTTCCAATATAGTAAATATTGTTTCAAACTGAAAGCATTTGATAAAGAGGTTTTAAGAGAAAGATTTAGGTGATTTTCATAAGAGATTTACCCTACATTTATTTTACTTTTTTTTTTCTTTCTTTTTCCCCAACTAATGACTATCGTATCACATAACATTCTACAAAAAATTATTGGAGTTGCTTTCTTATGAAAACTTAGGAGGGGAAAAAATGAAAATAAATTACTGATAGAAGTTCTTTATCAAGAGGTCACAACAAGGCCCACCAGACATATACAGCACTTCTCGCATGGTGGAACCACTAAATATTGAGTCTAAACAAATCAAGTATTTGTACACAAATATTTATTTCCATTTTTAGGGCAACCTGTTTGTGCAACTCATTGCATTGTACAATTAAGTTTGTTAAATCAAAGCAATAGGCAGAATTAACAGATGTACCTTTTACTGAGCCCTTGCAAACTTCCTTAACTAACTGTTTCATGAACAGTGAATGAATGTTTCAGTTGTGTACATCTAAATCTATATTTTTGCTACTCAGTACTTTGCCTGAAATAAATATTACACAAAAATTAAAGTGTTTAAGTTTTAAAAAATAAGTTTGGCTCTTGGCAATCTCTTCTCTCAAGAACATGGTTTCCAACCCTTCAGTAGCTGACCAACCCTATTTTATATTAAACATTCACTTCTGCTTTGAATTTGGTTGGTAATTTAAACAATTAACTCACCTTCAGAGGGAGAAAGGTTCTGCATATTCAGCGGATCAGGACTCGATTTCGTTCGATGGTGTGTGTGGAGACTCGAAACTTGCTGGGGGACTGCCACCTAAAGGATATAACACAAAAGCTAGTTAAGCTTTTCATTGGCATACATTTGGATAGCAAAAGACCCAATAATGTGGGCCAAAAATTGTTAGTACTCTATTCAGAACAAAGAACCCAAAATGTAGGAAAAATTCAATTTAGAAAAGCAATATCTTTGCTACTTATAATAAAACATAAGCATTATTAAAAGGAATGAGGAAAAATATAAAGAAAATGTTTAAAACATTTCTGTAAAATGGAAACAAATGTTCTTTTCAATTCATAAAATGAATTCACTTATGTACATTTTTACAATCATTAACACTAATACTTAAACAAGAGCTCCCTTAGATAAAGCACTTATATTTTTGGAATGTTGGTACTGTTAGTAGTAATTTATTCACAACAAAAATGTACACAACTAGAACTTTTAACTATTATTGGTATTAATTCTGCCCTACATTACATATAGTGCAAAGCAAGTGCAAAACACATTCTGTACATTTAGAAGTGCTTGTTGTATTAATTGAAATACAAAGACACTTTATGAAGTGGAGTGTACAGAATTTTCTGGACTAGGAATGTGGAAACACATAATGCCACCATTTAGCCATTATATTAGTTTGTAAAAGCACATAAATTATATCAAAAAGCTAGCAACAGCAAGAGGATTTTATACACAATACGTTTCAGAGCAGAAGCAAGATAAAAGTGGAAAAAATGTAAACTGTTATTTATATTACTGTCTTCAAAATGGAAATGAATTCTAGAAATAATTTCTAAATCTCAGTTCTTGTCCACAACGTCTAAGAATAATAGCAATTAAGTACACATTACCAATCATTATTAACTACAATGAATGCATATCCTAACTATATTGTACACTGGGGATAGGTAGGCCTAGGAGTTGCTTTTTGTGAGTGTACATAATTTTTCAGCTTAGCAATGAATACTAAATCTTGGTATAAAATGTTTTCTTTATCATGAAGTCCAATTTTCCCAAATAAGCATACTTTAGGGGAAGTATGTCAATCTTGAGAATACATATTTTCAGAGAGCCAAAACAAAGAATTTTGAAATACAAACCTCCATGCTCTTGAAAAATAAACTGTTTAATTACTTAATGTAATAAAAAAATAATAAATAGTTTCTTATATACCTTGCTTTACAAAATTGATTAAATTTACTAATTTTAATAATATATATGTTAATGTAATAATCCATCTTGATTAAAAGTAGAAAAAAAGTAGCTTTTATGAAAAGTCTTTCACCAGTGAGCAAAGAACCATGATTAACGAATCCTGTATTGGTAGGAGGGGAGGAGGGAGGTGTCAGGTGATTGAATGATATCATCATTGATTAATATTATATGTCTTCACGACTTGTTAGGGGGTTGATTGTACTGGAATTGTTTTCATTTCAAGGCTCCTAGAGAAATGGAGAGAGACTTTCGGAATGATAGAGAAACGGAGAGAGATTTAGGGATCATAGAGAAAAGGAGCGAGTCTTATGGTACTGTGCACAAATGAAGAGAGACCTCAATGTCAATACCAATATGGTACAGGATACTGTAATCATGGTATTGAAATGGTAAAGTAGGTAGGAAATTGTAGAACATAAATAAATATTCTGGTGACGGCAAACTACTGCACGAAATGCGCCGTCTCTCGACAAACCAGAACCCGAAAGCAGTAAGTAGTTGGCCGTGATTTCCCACAGGTGCGCAATTTTCCTTCGGCTCGTCGACACCGGCAACCTCAATCCCTAACGTACCCCTCCTTTACTTACACTGCATCGGTGATGGTGGTGTTGGTGATGGTGTCCGTCCGCGTGCGAGTGGTGGTGATGGTGGTGTGCGAGGACGGTTGTTGGAGGTGGGGTGGGCGTGGGGGCAGCGGGGGCGGGATGCCGCCGCCGCCGCCGCCGCAGCCACCGCCCGCGGCGACGCGCGGGCGAGGCGGCGGCGGAGGCGGAGGAGGAGGAGTTGGAGGTGAGGGAGGCGGAGGAGGGCGGGCGGTTGCGGGAGGGCAGCGGGGGCGGAGTGCCGGAGGGCGAGTGCGGCGCGGGTCGCCACTGCAAGACAGACAAGAGCGAGCGGGGGCGGGTGAGTGAGGGTGAGGCACGCCCAGGCGAGCGACGCGCGGGCGACGGGCGGCCGGGGGCCGGCGGAAGCGAGGGCGGCGGAAGCGAGGGCGAGGGCGAGAGCGGGGGCGGGAAGGGCCAGGTAGGGGGCCAGGTAGGAGACCGGAGGTCGGAGAAGTCCCTGGACCAGTCGGCGATACGTCTACTCTGGTTGATAAACGGGCCACGGACCGCGCGCGATCTTTCCTTCCTTCTCATTGATCTATCCACATCTCTTACTATCACATACTTACACTTACATGCATTACACTACCGCACATGCCGAGAATATCGCTCGGGAGCTTAGAGCTCGTCTCGACTGGGGTGGTTCCCCCTGGTGGGAGATACCTGGTAGGTGAAAAACCGCCAGCCCAAAGTCGGCGCGGAATCTCACCATGCAAGTGGGGGAAGATCACCGCCACCTCCCGCGATAAACATGTGCTACACTTTCGGAACTAATGACCTTAGCGGTTGACGCTCCCAGAATCACAAATAAATAAACCTAGTCTGGTTGGCGTCTAGAAATCAAGATTTTAACATTGTCACGCGATTTTTATTTTATTTTATGCTGTTTTAAGCCTACGTTTTAATTAATAACGTATTTTTATCACCCTGGTACCCGCACCATATCCTATGGTTTTTATTAAAACTAAGTTTTTAAAGTTTGACATGGACATCAATACAGATAGCTGTAGAGGCGCCCTCAATTACGAAACACTGAATAAAGAGCACCGCGCAAAGCATTAGAATTGTTATTTTTTTATTTACTTATGTACAAAGTTGTCAAATGTAAAACCTGTTTTAATGAATAGAATCACATAATAGCGTAGGTATATTCCTATCAATGAGAGTCCATGAACTAAGCTGCCGTCCTAAGTGCGTTCGTGTCGACAAAAAGTGTCATTTTACGACACTACGTTGCTCTAATCGACAAAGGAACGTGCCTGGTTCAGCCTCATGCTCCGATTCATTTGTATACAGCTATGAATCTGTGTGGTTTAGAGGCATGCTGTATTGCTTAATACTCACTACCTCTAACTACGGTTTAATCATCGCCCTCATCATTCTTAATGGATTATTCTTACCTTTCTGATTTTTTATTACCACTTCCTTATTGTTTATGTGCGAGTACTGTACGTGCTTTCGTGTTCATAATGTATCAAGGCAGTTCCAGCAGAATTTAGATTATTTTTATTGGAAACAAGTTTATTCCAAATAGAATTAAAACGACACACCGTATTACACCATTAGATACAAGCAATTTGGTACTTCCATTCCACTGACAGAATTTGCGAGACGAGAGAGAGCAAAATAGAGAAAAGACAATATCTTTTCATGTTAGTGAGTTTTAAAAGTAGAAAGAAAGAAAGATACGTTAATTCCACAAGTCAAAGAAAGATAGCTTAAAGATAGGGAAAGAAACACAATATAATTGCGATATTAGATCTTTTCAGAGCACAAATAACCATAGAACCATGAGAATGTATTCTTAGTCGGGTTCAAAAACAGGAATAAAATAAGGATGTTCTTTTGGGATTTCACATCGTATCAATACATACACAGAGTTGTGATACTATTGCCACAACGAGGCAGGAAAATTTGTAAATAATTTCATTGGTGTACACAAGATTTATTAAATTCAAGCATACATTAGAATCTTACACATGTATTACTTCCGAAGATTTATAGCACTTTTGGTGGAATAATCATCCATCGTACACACAGGCATGCGCAGAGGGAGCAGGGGGCATTCCCCGAACTGAAAGTTTCGAAAGGAGCCCCGTAGTCCTACGTAAGAAAACATTTTATTTGTGTAAATATGATCAATTCCTAATTTTAACCAGGTTTTAAGCTGCTATTTCGGAGCAGTGATACACATTTGGAAAAGCTCTCCAAACCAATATATTAATAAATAATCAATTTTGTTTGTTGATTTTATGAATAAACGACACCAATCCCCTGGCCGTCGAGGCAATGACTGGCCCACTTAACGGAGGATTACTCCACGTTCGACGCTGGTACGAATAGTTAAGGAATGTTACAAAAAAGTAACAATTTACAATTTCATTCTTATAGAACGTTTTATTTTATTATTTATTAAAAAGAAACATATCGTATGTGAATAAAAAACAATGGACCAGAAATGTATTTACTCCCCCCCTTCCCACTTGTTTTACGCTGCGCACACCTATGATACTCTAGATATTTTTATAAGAAGGGACCACTTTGAAAGCTACTGCTTGACTTCTGCTGGCAACATAACTATAGGTAATGTCTACGCACTCAATCCGTCAAGGCTTTCGTTTACAGTTAGAACATTGGTAAGTAGTTTCATCACCATCTCTTACAATACTATCGCCCTTCACGGCGTTCATTTGTTTCTCGACCTGACAAAATGGTCCCTCCGTTTCTGCACAAGTCACTCGTAGCAACGCTTGCTGTTAGTGCGCTGTCAGTGGCGCATGCGCAGGTTAAAGGCAGACACAAGCGGAGGGGTTTACGCTAGCGCACGCGCGAGACCACAACTGCGAGCAGTGTTGATACGCGGTTTTCAAACGATAACAACCGCAGTGTTGAAATAGAATACAGATTCTAGCATCAAGTGAACGTCAGTGCGAGCGTGCTTTCGCAATTTCCTCAGCTTGTCCGCCAGAGCTCGTGTCCTTTCCGTTGGAGAATCCGCCTGCACCTCTTTACTGACAAATTTGTAATGCTTTCACACGTTTTGCTCGCACTTGACAGTTTTTTATACTAACCCAAATCTGTGACGTTTATTGTTTAAATATATGAAGAAAAAATCCCGAAAATATTCAATTAGGCATGTAATAATATCTCTTTTAAAACATGAAACCAACAACATCAAACGAGGCCGTTAAATCGAGATTGATAACAGCCCAGTAC